ATTTTCTATTGGGTGAGATGTAATGCTTTGTGCTTTTCAAGGAATTGGCCAATTTTTTTCTGTTTTCAAATATATCTGAATTTATGCAGAAGAGTTTTTCATAGTGTTCTGTTACTATCCACTGGCCATCCATTTGCAGTGTCTGGAATGATGTCACTTGTTTTGTTACTGATATTGGTAGTTTGTGTCTTCTACATTTCTATGTCAGTCTGGCTAGAGGTCTGTCATTTTCATTGATCTTTTGGAAAACCAACTACATACTTAACTGATTTTTCCCGATTGTTTTTCTTTTAAATTTCTGCTCTTATCTTTATTATTTTCCTTCCTCTGCTTACACTGGGTTTATTTTGCTTTTCTTTTTCTAGGTTTATGAGAAGGAAGCTTAGATTATTGGTTTGAGACTTTTTCTCTTTTTTTCAATGCATACATTTAGTGCTATGTCTTTCTCAGTACTGTATTATTTGTGTCCCATAAATTTTGACATGCTTTGTTATTTTCAGTCAGTTCAATACTTTTATTTCCCTAGACATTTCTTTGACTCATGGATTATTTAGAAGTATATTGCTTAATTTCCATATGTTTGGAGATTTTTCCAGTTATCTTTCTGTTACTGATATTTCAGTGTGATTCCACTGTGATCAGAGATCATACTCTGTATAATTTTAACTCTTTTAAATTCATTGAAGCTTATTTTATGGTCTAGGATATGGTCAATTTTGGTATACATATTCCATGGAGAATTTGAAAAGACTGCATTCTCTTGTTCAGTAGACTATTAGATCCTACTGGTTGATGGTATTGCTGAGTTCTTCTATATCCTTGCTGATTTTCTATCTGTTATTCTACCACTTGTTGAGAGAGGGATGTTGAAGTCCATAACTGTAATTGTGAATTTGTCTATTTCTCCTTTTAGTTCCACCAGTTTTTGCCCCGTTTGCACCTGTTTTTTGCTACATACACATTTAGGATTTCTACATTTTCATGGTGGATTGATACTTTAATAGTTATATAATGTCCTTCTCTATCTCTGATAATTTTCTTTGCTCTGAAGTTCAATGTATCTGATATTAATATAACCACTCCTGCTTTCAACTGATTAATATTTGCTTGATGTATCTTTTTCCATCCTGTTACTTGCCTATACTGTTCAACTCACTTATTTGAAATTAGTTTCTTATAGACAGTGTATAGGTGGGTCACGTTTTCCAATTCAATCTTCTAGTCTTCATCCTTTAATTGGTGTATTTAGAGCATTTATATTTAATGTCATTATTGATGTATTAGAGCTTAAGTCTATATTTTTATTTTTTGTTTTCTGTTTTTGTTTTATTGTCTCTGTTCATTTCTGTTTTCTCTCTTCTTTCCCATGGGATTACTTGGACATTAAGTATAATATAAATATTATATTGTATATGCATAACTTATCAAAGTCTACTAATGTAATTTTATCAGTTCAAGTATTAATATAGAAACCTACTTACCTTCATGTCCATTTATCCTCCTGTTTATAATTGTCTTATCTATTTTGTCTACATAAATTATAATTACCTCAGTGAGTGTTACAATTTTTGCTTCTACTATCAAATATAATTTTAAAAATTCAAAAAGGGAAGCATACTGTATTTACCCACGTTTGCTTACTGTATTTTGTTGCTATTGTTCTTGATGTTTCAAGTTTCCTTCTTTCATTGTTTCCCTTATGTTTAAAGAAATTCCTTTAGCTATTTGCTATGGTCTGAATGTTTGTACCCCCACCAAGCCCCCCAATTTATATATTAAAATCCTAAAGCCTCTGTGACCGTATTAGGAGATGGGGCCATTGGCCGGTGATTAGGTCATGAGGGTGGAGCCCTCATGAATGAGATTAATAACCCTTATAAAAAAGGTCAAGTGAGCTACCTTGCCTTTTCCACCATATGAGAATACAATGAGAGGTCAATGGTCTGTAACCAAGAAAAGGGTCTTTACCAGAACCCAAACAAGCTAGCACCCAGATGTGAGTTCTAACCTCCAGAACTGTGAGAAAATTTTCTGTTATTTATAAGCCACCAGTCTTTGGTATTTTGTTATAGTAGCCCAAGGTGTTCTTTTAGGGTAGGTGTCCAGGCAATAAAATCTAGTTTTCTGAAGGTGTCTTAATTTCCCCTTTATTTCTTCCTTTTTTTTAATTTTTAATTTTTTTTATTTTGGTTTCATTAATGTACAATTACATGAGAAACATTATGGTTACAAGACTCCCCCCATTATTTCCCCTTTATTTCTAAAAGGTATTTTCACTGGGTATAAGATTCTGGATTGACAATTATTTTCTTTCAGCACCTTTGTGCCACTTCCTTCTGGCTTTCATGGTTTCTGATTAGAAGTTCACTGTCATTTTCTTTTTTTTTCTCCTTACAGGTAAGTTGTCATTTTTCTCTGGCTGTTTTCAAGGTTTTTTCTGTCTTTAGTTTTTTTAAGTTTTTTGATATGTCTTGTGGATTTCTAAAGATTAATCTTATTAGGAAGTTCTTAGCTTCTTGAATCTGTAGGCTGATGTCTTGCCAAATCTGAGAGGTTTTCAGCCATTATTTATTTGAGTACTTTTCTAGCCCCATCCTCCTCCCCTCCTGGGACTTAACTGATTTTTTGTTCTGGTCCCACTAATCCCTAAAAATTTATTCACTTTCTTTCCAGTTGATTTTTTGTTGTTGTTGTTGTTCTTATTGGGTTATTTCTATTGTTTTATTTCCAAGTTCACTGATTTCTTCCTTTTTCCCCACCATTCTGCTATTGAATCCATCCACTGAACTTTTTGCTTTGGTTATTGTATTTTCAGCTCTAAAGTTCCTATTTGGTTCTTTACATTTTGTATTTCTCTGCTACAACTTTTATATCTTTGCTAAAGCCTTCTTTTTTATTTATTTGTTTCCAGGTGCTTTGTAATGGCTCTTTGAAGCATATTTATCATGGCTACTTCAATATCTTTGTTACAGAATTTTAGTAGCTCCATCATCTCATGTTGGCATATTTTTTCATTCAGTTTGAGATCTTCCTGGTTCTTGGTATGACAAGTGCTTGTTTATTTGGGGCTGGACACTTTCAGATTATGTTCTAAGACTCTTGCTTATTTAAGTCTGCTGTTTCATCTATCATAGTCTGACACTGCTTGAGTAGGAGGAAGAAAATGCCATTTCATCACTGCCAGGTGGAAATAGAAGTGCAGGTTCCCTACATGGCCTCCACTGAAATTGAGGGGAGCCTCTTAGTTACTGCTAGGAGGGAGTGGAAGTTAGAGATTGCCACAGGATCTCCATTGCAGGGAAGGAGAGCTGTTACTGCTGACGGGGATGAAAGTCTTAGCTTCCTTCCTGGCCTCTCACACACCATCCTTATGGGATACTGGGGCACCTCATTACAGCCTCACAAGGTAATATGCTGGCCCCTCTGCTTGGACTCTGTTGATATGGGTGGGGACAAATTTGTTTCAGTGGTATTTGGCTGAAGCAGAGTGGTTATTGTCTAAACGTTTTCTGTCTTTTTAGACTGCTCCTTTCCTGGTCTCTTGTTGAAGATGTTCCTTCCTTCCTTCTTCCTTCCTTCCTTCCTCCTTCCTTCCTTCCTTCCCTCCCTCCCTTCCTTCCCTCCTTCCTTCCTTCCTTCCTTCTCTCCTTCCATCTGTAGTATTAAGTGTTTCTGGGTTGGTAGCATCTTCAGATCCAAGTCTGGGATATACAAAACTAAAAGACCAAAAGAAAATGCAGAGAATTCACCATCATGTTGTTCCTTGGATCCTGAGGTCCCTAGCTTAGCAGCCTTTTCTCCACTTTTCAGTCTTTTTATTTTTTTTATTCATAATGCCCAAGATTTTTAGTACTTAGTAGAGGTATACTGAAAAGTATAGCTATTCCAGAAGCAGTTTTGATATTATAATTTTTATAATTAGTGGAACTCCTCTCCATGTAATATCAAAATATGTAAACAAAAAAAATTTTTTCCAAAGCAAAATGGGAAGAAAACTCAGTAAGTAATTCTGTTGTCTTATACCCAGGCACCTCCAAAAGCCTACTTATTTGGGATAATTTGTCATATGACCAAAGAATGTTGTTGAATCCATCAGAATAATTTATTTTACTAATGCCCAAATTTTTCTTCCTGTTCACTTAAAAGCAGTGCACAGTGGCAAAAGAACTCTGTGGGTAACACAGAAATAAATTTTTGATTAAAGAAGCAAGTGGAAGTTTCATCTCTTGGATTTTAGAAAAGTCCTTCAGTAGCAGAAATAGGAAAAAATCATTTACTGAACATCTATACTGAAGGCATAGGGGAATCCAAGAACTAAAACATAAAGAAAATATAAAGCACAAAATATGTAGGACAGAATCAAGTAATTATGATTCAGTGCTATGGTATACAAAATAGGAATGAATAATTATGATTGGAGATTTTAGAGAAGGATTCACAGAAATAACACCTGAACTGGATTTGGAAGGATTTGTTCATTTAATACTTATCATCAGCCTATTTTATGCTAGGCTCCTTGGTGTTGGTTACAGAATGAGTAGTATTTTCACACAGACAGGGAAATGGGGTAGCATGGGTAGTAGGGCAGGCAGTCTAGTAATAGAGACAGTAAAAACTAATAAATAAAAATGTGGGCAGCCAAACAGAGCTTAAGAGAACTATAAACAATGCTGTTTGAAAACTCACTAAATATGGAAAGACTGAATTTTACTAATAGTGTTATTAACCACTTTCATTCACCTTTCTATGTGTCACATACTATTCTAAGTGCTTCATATGAAGCATTTTATTTAATCCTCATATCAACTCTAAGTGGTAGGTCTTATTACTATTAACCCCACCTAGAGATGAGGAAACCGAGATTTAAAAAATATAAGTAACACATCTATGATCATACAGTGAGTCTATGTCTTAGTCACTATACAAGCAGGCAATAAATTTAGAAAGCATTTTAAAATGCTTACTTTGGGGTTTTCATGCACATAAATGTTGTTTTGCAGAATTTGATGGCATGAACCTGGGCAAAAAAGTGAGCATCCCCAGAGACATTATGTTGGAAGAATTATCCCATCTCAGTAACCGTGGTGCCAGGCTATTTAAGATGCGACAAAGAAGATCTGACAAATACACATTTGAAAATTTCCAGTATGAATCTAAAGCACAAATTAATGTAAGTATAACCTAAACATGTGGTATCCAAATAAGTGAGCAGCATTTCTAAATTTATATGTATTACTAGATTCCTAAACAAGATTTTCTTTTTTTTTTAGTTTTTTTTATTAGTTTTATTTTGGTATCATTAATCTACAATTACATGAAGGACATTATGTTTACTAGGCTCCCCCCTTCACCAAGTCCCCCCCACATACCCGTTCACAGTCACTTAAACAAGATTTTCTATGTATTTTCTTTCCATTGATTCTATTAGACTCTTTGTTCATGACGAAGAATAGTTTAGGTGGACAAACAAAAGAAGTACTAAGTATGATATGAATATCTTTTTAGTTCAACAGAGACACTGTAAGCTTGTAGATTTGGCACTGAAGAACTGATCTGTTCTGCTAAAGGAGAGAGAGGGAGTGGAGATTGGTGGTACTGAAAGTTTCCATGGTCTTATCACCAAGTTAAACTTATCACCAGTTAAAAGTTTGGGATGGAAACACTTCCAAAGCACACATTGCTCCACAAAGTAAGTATAAGCATTTTATTGGCTGAATACATCCTGGCACTGAAACATGCCTGGGAACTACAGACACAGTTGATCTCCTCTCAAAGCAATTATTACACATTGTGCAGGGAAGTCTGGTACCTATTAACAACAAAACTAATGTGGACAAAACTCTTTGGACAAAAGTTTTCATTTGCTAAATGTTAATAAACAAATTATTAATTAAATTTTATTTCACATATTGCATTAAGACCATATTCTTTTAAACTGTCATTCAGAGAGATTGTAGAGGAAGAGATTCACAGAAGGAAAACGACTAGCTTTGGAAAATGGCTTTAAAAATAAATATCAGGTGGCGTGAGTAGGGCAGTGGAAATTTCCTCCCAAAATCACAAATATTTTTGAAAATACAACAAATACAACTACACCTAAAAGGGAGACCAGAAGATACAGTACAACAGCCAAGCTACATCTATATCTGTGAGAACTCGGCATCTCGTGAAGGGGGTAAGACACAAGCCGTGGCCCAGCAGGACCCAAGGGCTCCCCCCACCCCAGCTCCTGGCAGGAGGGAAGGAGTTGGAGCGGGGAGGGAATGGGAGCCCAGGACTGCTAAATGACTAGTCTTAGTAATCCACACTGGGAGCACAGACACACATTGCATGGTGTGCTGGATATTAGGGAAATGGAAAAGTAAAATCTGCAAGCGGGTCGCTGCAGGCAGCTCTTCTGGGACAAAAGAAAAGCAAGTGCTTTTTGAAAGTCTTAAAGGGACAGGAACTTCACAGCTGGATGGAATCGTCCCACACACTCAGCCCAGCAGGCTGGGAATTCTGAGGAGCTTAGGCGCCCCAGCCCCCTGGGAGGCAGCGCAGCTCTGAAGCCCCTCACAGAGATAAACAGCCTGCCACTCATTCCCCCTCTGGCGTGGTCCCACCATATCGGCCAAGTGGCCGCACCCACAGCAGCTGCCCAGAGTCTCCTCCCCGCACACATCCACCTAGGACAGACTCAGGTGCTGCCACCAGTGCGCAGCTGCCTGGTGTAGGCAGAGGAAGCCAGAGCTGGGTGCAAAGGGGTGCCGCTCCCAGGAGAGCACACATGGTGTGCCTGCCACTCCCTGGAGGGCTGTGAGTTGCCCTGAGGGCTGCTCCTGGTGTGCAGCAACCGACTCAGGCAGCGGAGAGGGGCAGGGTGACCAGCAAGTAGGAAGGGACTTTGTTCTTTCAGCTGACACATGCGCCACCTGCCAACGACTACCTCTATCACCATGAAAACGCAGAAGAATTTGGTCCAGGCCAGAATTACCCAGACAACACCTGAGAGAGGGCCTGGGGAGACAGATATAACCAATATTCCCGAAAGAGAATACAAAATAAAAGTCATAACCATGCTAATGGACCTGCAGAGAAATATGCAAGAGCTAAAGGATCAAGTTAGGAGGGAGAACACAGAAATCAATCTCTGGAAGGACTTAAGGGTAGACTGGATGAGGTGCAAGAGACCATTAATGGAACAGAAATCAGAGAAAAGGAATACAGAGAAGCTGAGGCAGAGAGAGATAAAAGGATCTACAGGAATGAAAGAATATTAAGAGAACCGTGTGACCAATCCAAACAGAACAATATTCACATTATAGGGGTACCAGAAGAAGAAGAGAGAGAAAAAGGGATAGAAAGTGTCTTTGAAGAAATAATTGCTGAAAACTTCCCAAAACTGGGGGAGGAAATAGTCTCTCGGACCATGGAAGCCCACAAATCTCCCAACACAAGGGACCCAAGGAGGACAACACCAAGACATATACTAATTAAAATGGAAAAGATCAAAGACAAGGACAGAATATTAAAGGCAGCCAGAGAGAGAAAAAAGATCACCTAATAAGGAAAACCCATCAGGCTATCATCAGATTTCTCAATAGAAACCTTACAGGCCAGAAGAGAAGAGCATGATATATTTAATGCAATGAAACTGAGGGGCCTTGAACCAAGAATACTGTCTTCAGTACGATTATCATTTAAATATGAAGGAGGGATTAAACAATTCTGAGATAAGCAAAAGTTAAGGGAATTTGCCTCCCAAAAACCACCTCTACAGGATATTATAAAGGAACTGCTCTAGATGGAAGCACTCCTAAGGCTAAATAGATGTCACCAGAGAAAATAAAATCACACCAAAGAAAGCAGACCAACCAAATACTAACTAAAGTAAAATCAACTATTCACCAAAGCAGTCAAGGGAAACACAAAAGAATACAGAATAAAATACGAAACATATAAAGAATGGAGGAGGAGGAATAAGAAGGGAGAAAAATAAAGAATCAACAGACTGTGTTTATAATAGCTTAATAAGCAAGTTAAGTTAGATGGTTAGATAGTAAAGAAGCTACCCTCGAACCTTTGGTAACAATTAATCTAAAGCCTCCAATGGAAATAAGTACGTATCTTTCAATAATCACCCTAAATGTAAATGGACTGAATGCACCAGTTAAAAGACATAGTCACTGAATGGATAAAAATCAAGACCCATCCATATGCTGCCTACAAGAGACTCACTTTAAACCCAAAGACATACACAGACTAAAAGGGAAGGGATGGAAAAAGATATTTCATGCAACTAATAGGGAGAAAAAAGCAGGAGTTGCAGTACTTGTATCACAGAAAATAGACCTCAAAACAAAAAAAGTCAAAAG